CCCAGGACCAAGTGGATCACCCTGTTTTGTCCACCTGGAAGATTATATTCTCTCTTTTCTCCCTTTTTTTTTTTTTCCTTTTATTTTTTGATTTCTGACCTCTTTGGATTTGTCTGGTGTGTATTTCACTTGGGTTCTGGTTGGTATTTTTTATTTTGTTCTCTCATTTGTCCATTCTTCTCTGGCCAAAATGACTAGAAGGAGGAATTCACAACAAAGGAAAGAACCAGAGGTAATAGTGTCTGCCACAGATCTAATGATATGGATATAAGTAAAATGTCAGAGCTGGAATTCAGGATAACGATGATAAAGCTGGGCTTGAAAGCATAAAAAAACACTACAGAAACGCTTAGTGCAGAAATAAATCTAATCAGGCCAAAATTAAAAATGCTTTAACTGAGATGCCATCTAAATTGGATGCTCCAACAGCTAGGGTAAATGAGGCAGAAGAGTCAGTGAAACAGAAGACAAGATGCTGGAAAAGAAGGAAGCTGAGGAAAAGAGAGAAAAACTAATGGACCATGAGGGTAGACTTCAGAAATCAGCACTACCATAAAGTGAGACAACATTAGAATTATTGGGGTCCCAGAGGAAGAAGAAAGAGAGACGGACAGAAGGTATATTTGAGCAAATCATAACAGAACTTCCTTAATCTGGGGAAGGGAGCAGGTATTCAAGTCCAAAAGGTAGAGAGAACCCTCCTCAAAAATAATAAGAGACCAACATGCTGACATATACTAGTGAAGCTTGCAAATTTCAGAGATAAAAGGAAAATCCTGAAAGCAACTCGAGGCAAAAGCTTCTTAACCTACAATGGTAGAAACATTAGGCTGGCAGCAGACCTATCCAGAGACCTGGCAGGCCAGAAAGGACTGGCATGATATATTCAGGGTACTAAATGAGAAAAACATGCAGCCAAGAATACTTTATCCAGCAAGGCTGTCATTCAGAATGGAAGGGGAGATAAAGATGTTCCAGGACAAACAGAAACTAAACTAAAAGAATTTGTGATCACTAAACCAGCCCTGCAAGAAATATTAAAAGGGATCCTGTAAGTGAAGAGAGAGCCCAAAAGTAACACAGACCAAAAAGGGGAACAGAGACAATATACAGAAATAGTGACTTTACAGGTAATACAATGGCACCAAATTCATATCTTTCCATAGTTACTCTGAATGTAATTTACATTCATAAATTTGATAACTTAGAAAATCAATTCTTGAAAGCTACACACTCCTAAAACTCAACCAAAACTAAAAAAAGATGAAATAGAAAATCTTGATATACTATAACCATTAAAGAAATTGAATTTTTAATTTAAAATCCCCTAAGAAAGAAAGAATCTAGATTCCGATGCTCTGGTTTCTTTATTTTTAGGTTCATCCATGTTGTTGCATGTATCAATAGATCATTCCTTTTTGTTGCTGAGTAATACTCCATTATGTGGAATATTCTACATTTTATTTCATTCATCTGTTGTGGACATTTGGGTTTTTTACAGTTTGGCACTATTTAAAAGCTTTTATGAACATTCATTTACAAGTCCTTGTAGGGACATATGTTTTCATTTCTCTTGGGAACATACCTAGGACTAGAATGGCTGGATCATATGGTTAGGTGCATGTTTAACTTTTAAGAAATTGCCGATCTGTTTTTCAAATCAGTTGTCTAGATTATTTTACATTCCCACCAGCAGTATCTGTGTATAAACTATGAATTTCATTTATATAAACCCCAGAAAATGCAAACAAATCTATAGTAACAGAAAGTACATCACTGGTTGCCTGGACCAGGGTTAGGCAGGGCAAGTAATTACAAGGGGCACGAAGGAACTTTGGGGACTGATGAATATGTTTGCTCTATTGTCTAGTGGTTTCACAAGTGTTACCATATATGTCAAAACATATCAAATTATATACTTTAAATATGTGCAGTCCACAGTACATCAACTATACTTCAGTGTTAAAATAATAGTAGGTGTCAAAAATAATAGGATATTTATTTTGTTTACTTAGTAGGATATGTTATTTAGCCTTGGAGTAACAGATTGTGACTGAAGTCTCATGTGCCTTACTGGCGCACCCAGTAGTTGAACAGACTGAGCCTAAAGCCATAGCTTCTCCTGGTAACTCTTCTAGCCACCTCACCAGCTGTCACCTTGCACAACCCCATCTCTGCCCCACTTGCAGCATTGATAGAATGAGCACACCATTTCCTTCCTATTTCCAAGGGCCGTTTGAGATAATGGTTAGGAAATGAGAGGTCAGGGCAAAATAATAAACTTTTTAAAAACTCAGTATGTGAACAGTTGGTTTCACAGCTCTTGACTATCTTTGACAAAATGAACTTTGACAAAAAGCTGCCTTTCCATCTTGGGTTGCTCACAAAAAAGATCAAGGAAGAGGGGGTTTATACACAGAAAAGTATATGATTGTACATGTCACAGAAAAACACCATACGGGTGAATTTTTAAAGATCACTTTATTTATACCTCTTCTACCCTTCATTGGCAGGAGTAATTGAGCAAACTAAACTCATTTTTCCTTCATCCTCATACCACGCTAATTTCAGTCTCTATGAGTTTTCATTCATGATATTCTGGAAGGCTGACATACCCTCAACAAACCCTAAACCTTGGCAAGCACAATGACAAGGTCTAGAGTTTTTGTGACAAAACAAAACTGACCTGCACTCCAATCTCTTGGAACCTTTGTCTAAATTCCACCCTTTCAAGGCTCAGTGCAAATCATCTTCTCCACAAAGGATTTCCACACTATTCTATATGCTACGAAGGGGTTTCCACAGTGCAGTGGTTAGCATATTCACCTCGCACTATTCTATATTCAAATCTCTCCCTTTTCTGAATTATTTGTGCTGACAGTCTATACCATGCCACATGACAATGCTATTTTGTAGCATTCTAGAATTGTTCCAACAATTCATCTTTTTAATTTTTACCCCAGGTGCAGTGTATCCAATTAGTCATAATGCCCATTTTCACCACTGGTTGTGCAAGAGCCCTCTTCTGTATTTTGTTTTACCCCTATACTGTACCCTCTTTATTCCGTTGCTGCTGTACCCCATGGTCTACCTGTCACTTTCCCCCTTTTGTAAGGATAGCCACCCGAGGGGCCTCCAACTTACCCAACAACTATTCTAGTTCTTTTATGTATGTTGACTATAGCTAAACTAACTGCTTATAAAACAGGAACGTTTTTCTTCTGCTACACCCCTCTTGACAGTAGACAGGCAAGGAGTATTTGCTGGTTTTCTGTTGTGGCCTATGTATGTTTTCTACTGTCAAGTGGTAAAGATTAACTACTACTAGTGGGGCACCTGAGTGGCTCAGTCATTAAGCATCTGCCTTCGGCTCAGGTCATGCTCCCAAGGTCCTGGGATCGAGACCCACATTGGGCCCCCTGCTCCGCGGGAAGCCTGCTTCTCCCTCTCCCACTCCCCCTGCTTGTGCTCCCTTTCTAACTGTGTCTCTTTCTGTCAAATAAATAAAAAAAATCTTAAAGTAATACTACTAGTAAAGTAAAATTAGTAACTAGAGTAAAGTGTTGCCAATGGGGTCTTCCTGAGCTGAGTTTAATCCTGGCTTTACCCCTTACTAGCTCTGTGACTTTGGGAAAGTAATACCTACTTGCTTTGAGCATCTCTTTCTTCCTCTATAAAGATGGGTAATACTACATACCTTACTGGGCTATTATGAGGAATAAATGAATTAACTCACTCAAAGCACCTTAGTACAGCAAACGGCATATGACAGTGGTCTAATAATGGCTGCTATGAGCCCTATCTACTCCTTCAAATTGTAGTCATTTGTACCTGTCAGCTCTTCTAAGAGTGTGAGTACCTCAGAGGCAGGTCCATTTCAGATACTTCTTTATTATCTGCTCATTATCCTGCACTCTGCTTCATGTAATGTTCTATTTACATTTATGTTTACTATAATTCTTTGGTTAGCATTCTACTAACCTAGATTTTAAGAATATATGCTAGAGTATTTCAAAATGCTTTCTTGCTGGAGGGGAGGTGGGTAGAGGGAAGGGGTAACTGGGTGATGGGCATTAAGGAGGGCACTTGATGTAATTAGCACTGGGTGTTATATGCAACTGATGAATCACTAAACTCTACCTCTGAAATTAATTTAAAAAATACAAAAAATGCTTTTTTTGTCCAAGAATGCAGTATGTATTAATATCTTTATTGCATGATTCATGAGAATCTTTTATTAATTCTTACATGTTCAAAGAAAATTGTATCTACTGAAAAGTAAAATCAGAAGTTAGTCTTCAGTGTATAAGAAGGTTGCTGTTTTCATTTCTACCTCCATGGCTTAAAAAATACAAGTACTCCTCCTTCAGTCATGTTTTGTCTTCCAGGTTCTAAAGTAAGAGACATCTGCATCCTGTAATAAAGTGACAGTAACATGAATCAGACCCTCCTTATAGTTACCCTAGTTTATTTTTTTCCTACAAATTCCTTCTGTTTTCAGGAGCTATATCATTATGATTCCTCACCATTAAGAATCCTTATAAAACCTGGGCAAATGCTTAAATTAGAATAAAAGTCATAGCTAGAATTCTAGATCTACACAAAAATATCTCTGTAGGACTCAGCATCATTATGTCCCTCTATCAGATATAAATATCATTGATTAGCATCTGCCCACAGCATTTCTTAAATGCTGACATTTCTACTATTAGTCTTCTGGACCAGCATATCATGCCTATAATAAATACAAAGAATTAGGGAACTGGGTAGCTCAGTCAGTTAAGCCTCCAACTCTTGATTTCAGCTCAAGTTATGATCTCAGGGTTGTGAGATCAAGCCCCACATTGGGGCCACATTCAGCAGGGGTCTGCTTGAGATTCTCTCCCTTTTTTTCTCTCAAAAATAATAATAATAAAATAAATCCTTAGAAAAACAAAATAAATAAATAAAAAGAATAGGTCAGGGTATTTAGAATTGAAGTATCTGACAGATAATTCTAAAGTGATTTGTGAACTAGTTCATCGCTTAAAGCGTAAACCAAGGCAACTCGATAATCCTTAAGATGTGACATTTCATTTGGGAAGATACGCATTTACCACTTCTAAGAATGTGCACTAAGACAAAATAATAAAGAACACAATTCAGTGCAGCTATTGTTCTTGATCCTGAAAAATAATATATATTCATAAAAACAAAGTTCCAGATATAATGTTCCTAGCCTAAACAACAGAAATAAATTCAAGTATTATCAATAGGTACATTTAGCTTGATAAGCTATATTGGCATTATCTTAACGTAGATGCCTTATAAGTAAATTTCAATGAGGAGATGGATATATCTATACACACATAGATATATAATTGAAAATAATGGGAGAAAAAAGCAGGGAGGAGAAAACGGAGTAAAAAAATTGAGGAACAATTTCTTCAGTTCATGTGGTTTTGCATAAAGAATGAGGTATTTTATCTCAGAAATGTTCTTGGGAAATGAAAGGATGCCCAGTTTATCATAAGAAAGTGATTAGCAATAAGACCATGTAAAAGCGGGGGCATCTGGGTGGCTTGGTTGGTTAGGTATCTGCCTTTGGCTCAGGTCATGATCTCAAGGTCCTGGAATCAAGCCCCATATCAGGCTCCTTGCTCAGTGGGGAGCCTGCTTCTCTCCCTCTGTCCCTCCCCTCTGCTCATGTTCTCTCTCTCAAATAAATAAAATCTTTAAGAAAAAAAAAAGACCATGTAATAAGCAATATATTAAAGATGGTAGTTGGAAGAGAAGGGCCATCATTTTAGGAAAAACTAGATGTAACCAAATGCTTGATTTACTGAGTAATGTTTATATTTTACAGTTAGATAATCTATAAACAAAACAAAATAACGTTTGTGGACATTCCAAAAAGCACAACTGCTTTAGTGGCACCGGAACTCTAGCCCCTGGTCCCTTCTTTCTTTGAACCCAACCACTTCTATAATGTATTCTCTCTCCACCCTATTGCTGAACTCTTTCAACTTTATCTGTTAGCTAAATATCCTGCTACCATCCAAACAAAAGCATTAAGAGCTAATAATTAACAAGCATAACACTCCAAGACATGTTTTAAGAGTTTTCCATATACTCACTCACTTACTCCCCATGACAATCCTATGACTAAGTGCATCATTAATCTCCATTTTGTAGATGGGGAGATTGACTTACAGAGAAAAATTTGCCTGAGATTGAGGGATGAGGTCACAGGATAGAGCTGGGATTTCAACCCAGGGAGCCTGATATGAGGTTCCATGCTTTTTTTTTTTTTTAATCATTTTTTTTCTTTTTAAAGATTTTATTTATTTATTAGAGAGCGAGCGAGAAACAGCATGAGAGGGGAGAGAGTCAGAGGGAGAAGCAGACTCCCCACTGAGCTGGGAGCCTGATGTGGGACTCGATCCCAGGACTCCGGGATCATGACCTGAGCCGAAGGCAGTCACTTAACCAACTGAGCCACCCAGGCACCCAAGGCTCCATGCTCTTAACCAGGACGCTATGTCACCTCCCTAGTATGGAGCCCTTTCTTTCTCAACACTTATCCATCACTGGACACAATACCACTCTATCAGCTATCCTCCGAGTTTAAAATTCAGATGCAAATCTTTGATGAAGCTCTACCTTTGGAACCATCCCACACTACTACATCCCAACATTACCAAAACACATATAAATCGTCCACATTACAACTTGGTAGCCAATGAATAGCCTCCTTCAGGATTTTTCAAGCTTGGGACTTGTTTAGTGCATCATGTTAGTTTTATAACCTTTAAATCTCTTTAATCATTTTGGTTGTTTGCTTTTTTTTACAGATTCATGTTCACTGTCCTGCAAAAACTGGGAACAAATTAAGTACCTAACAAACTGTGGATTGCTTAAATAGTGGTAGGTTATATAATGATACATATAGTATGCTTCCACTGAATAATTCTCTTTATAGATCAATCCCTGCTACCTTATTTCTAAAAGAAGGTAGTAGTCATTGAAAAAATGCTTTAACAATAAAAACCATCCACAGAAATGGCCTTTCTTTGCATTATCATATCAATAATTTTTGGCTTTTACTCATTACATTTTCTGTGATCTTTATACATTACAGATGGTCACAATTTTCTCAGAAATATCTCATACCTCACTTTTCTATAAGAATGAGTGCCAAAAGAATGAATAATCACCATATTTTTTCAGACATGGGCTTTTGGCACATATCATATGTGCACAGTGCTTCCAGAATGAGGCCAAAGGAACCAGCACTACACAGAGAATGTGCATGAGTTGTTATTTAAGAGCATGATAAGTCTTTGACAGAGTTAAGCATGGGGCTGAGATATACCTCATCCTGGGGAGAAATGGGAGGGGAGGCCAGGTATCAACCCAAGGAGACCATACCAGGTAGGAACTTGTGGTGAAAAGCAGTGGAAAAAGAGTATTTTGACCCATACACTGATCAATCAGGAAGTGCAGAAGAGAAAATGGCAATCCTTGATTTGATTTTACCTTGGAGAAACTTCTTTCTCCAAGACCAGTGGTAATTTATAGTAAACCAACAGATATGCATGGGGAACACAATTCTTTTTTTCTCTTTTGTATTTATATCATGAGGTTGGTGGAGGGTTAGTAAGAAAAGTTTTCAAGTACTAGAAGATTTCATACTTTCCTACAAGACTGATATATATTAAGAAGTGCATAAATGGGTCTTACCAAACCATTCTTAAAGTTCTCAATTCTTCTCTTCCCTAATTTGTTGGTTAGCCACCAGGCCCAGGTTGGCATATATTGCCAAAAATATGTTACTAACAAAAAAGGGTGATCCGAGATCCAAACTTCTTTCAAATCATTGGCCATGCTGATTAACATCAGCCGCACACAACGACTGGTTGCCATCTTGTGGGACTGGACTGTATCAACGCCTAAAGTCTGAGAAAATGTTAAAAAAATAATTAAGTGAATGCTGAGTATTTATCCAAGTGATTTAAGAGAACTTTTAAGCTGGAAAGGACGTAGAGGTCATCTAGTGGAGTGACCTTTGGGGACCTCACGACCTTTTGTATCCCCATAGTTACTAATAGGTGTCTATAAGCTATCTGTAGTATTTCCAAAAGCCTAAGAGAAATCATACGCTTACCAGATAAGATTGTGCAGGCTCAACAAAAGATGAAGGTTCTTTGCTTTTTCCTTAGATCACCTTTAATGTATTTACTGATAATTATATGTCATTTTAGCAACAAAAGTTTTTAAACAAATTACTAATCCATTTAGCAGGAGAAGTTCTAGAAGATGTAGACTCCATGGGGATAAAATGGAAGAAGAAGATAAAAGCAGTTTCTGGTAGTGAACAAACCTGGTACTGCTCATCTAGTTAACCCCTTACCATTCTACAAATAAATAAACAGGCCCAGAAAGGTAGTGACTCAGCTGTGCTCACAAAGATCATTAGCAGTAACCAGTTCTACAGTCCAAGTCACCTGATTCCTAGAATAGCATGCTCACTGTTTTACCCTAGAGCCTCCACAGAAAATGTGAAAATATAAATGGTATCTGTAAACTTTTACATACAAGCAGAAATAGATTTATGTCTCAGTAGAAATTGATCCTCATGGAGAAGAAGGAAAATTTCATGGGCTTTAGTGGGATTTTGGATAATTGAGTGAGACTGGATTCTTCACAGGACATCTGTCATCCACTGGGTAACTCACTATGTGTAATCCATGAGCTGACGGGAGCACAGGTGAAGCTAACCTAGAATTATCTCACTTCGGCAAGGGTTTTCCTAAGCTCCTTCACCACAGCCCCTCTTGAAAATCCCAGTAAGATTTAAAGTACTAAAATTCAGCCACACAGAATCTTTCAATGTTGCTATAATTTGTGAATTGACAGAAGCTGGGCTTTAAGAATACTGACAGCCCAAATAATAGTGGATTACTTATAACCAGTGTTTTCTCAGTTTCTTTAGCCTTTATTAAAACTGAATGCCAAAGCACCTTCAGCTAACCTTAACAGTGTTCCCAGTGCCATGAGGGAAGTTTTGTAAATAATTCATAACATGGTAACATGTTATTCTAACATGTTAGAAAAAATTCTAAACCCTGAGACATAGTGATACAATACCAATATATAACTACTAAGGCATTCAAATTATTCTCAACCTAGACATTTTTACCTTTTGGACTTCTTCGGTTAGGGAATTCTTCACAATATTTGATTGCACAGGTCCTGGACAAATGTTAGAAACTACTATACCTGGGTATGCAGCAAGTTCAGCTCGGAGGCAATTAAAAAAACCCTAATAGGCAAAAAAAAAAAAAGCAACAAATAAAATTAAATACACATATCTCATATTTGCTCTTAGCATGAAATTACTTTTCTTCAACTTTTTATGGGGGACAATAGTGGCACATAATCAAAATATGTTTTGAAATGCCAAGTAAAGGATGGGAAATATAACTGGGCAAGCTTATTAAACATTTTTTTCACCGTATCAGTATTTTTAATGTCCAACATTTACAATACGAGGGCCAGAGCTTTCTCCTCAACTCAAGTTTATAAATTCTCAATTGGCTTGTGAGGCCAATAGGGATACTTCTTCTTGTCTAATCTGGTTTCTGGGAAGACTTCATTCAGGTCCTCAATGGTCATCTGATCAAATGGAATTATGTTCCTCATCTTCTCCAGCTCTTTTTCATATTCCTCAATCCTGGCCTTTGAGAGAGACAAAAACTCGGCACAACTTTTCACATCTTCTTTTTCTTCAGCATCCACCTGAACAGTATATTTATCCTCTGGCACAGGAACCTTCAGGGCATTAAACTTCTTCTCAAAGTCATCTACCAAACCAGCCTTTGCCACATTGGCCTTGTAGTAAGCCCAGTCGATAGCAGGTGGTTTCTCAGGGAGAGTAGCCAATCTGGAGTTAAGTGTCTCATGCCAGGATTTCAGGGAGTTAGCAATGGCCTTCTGGTTTCGGGGTATGATCTTCCCAAAAGCTACCCAGTCAATGGTTTTTAGAGCAAGTTTTCGCACAGCCATCTTGAGATCCTTCACCGACCCTGGTGGCCTCCTTATTAAACATTTTTAACTGTTAAGACTGGAGGCAATCTAGAACAGGCATCCTCAGGCATCATCATCTTCCGGTAGGAATAGTTCACCCCTTTTAGCAGTGGTGGCTCATGCCATCAGTGATTTTTTTTATGGTAGGTGCTAGACAAGTGAAAAACTCTCCCTGGAGATTATTCCAACACACCCTCCTCACACCAGTCCCCAGCTCCCCACTCCAAAAGAGGTGCGTGTTCTCCATTGAGAATCACTGAGGTTGGGCCTCTTTTATCCCTCCAAGTGGTCTAAAGTGCCAGTGCTGGCTCCAGAGGGAGCGAGAGGGGTTAGTAATACTTAACGGAAATGATCAGAGAGGAAGAACTCAATGTTTTCTATTTACATTACTATTTTAACAGACAATTCATTTCAGCAAACATTTATTTTTAGGGTTAGCAAGAAACTACATGGCTGGTTAAAAAAAGTAATACGACTGCTTACTTGATGGCTTTTGTAAAAACAAGCTAGACCTTCTAGACTTAAAGATATTGGCCATTTCTAAACCAAATAGGGAACAAACATCTACTTCCCCCCTCATCTCTTTTCTAAATTAGGAAATGTTCCAAGACTACATTGGTATAAGCTGAGTTAACCATTGAAGGAAGAGTCTAAGTAGCTAACCCCGAGTGTGTTCATTCACGGTCCAACATTAAACAGTTACCAGCTCCTAATGCTGACCACTAATAAACAGGGGTGGGGAGGGTTCACACTGTCAGAGATTAATAAAGTGACTGACTCACATGGACAGGAAAAAAGGCTTTGTAAATTCAAGGATTCTCATACCCTTAACCTTTTGCCTCTCTATAGCAAAACACGATGAGGACACCATGAGAGCCAATCCATCAGATGCTAATACATCCCCTCGTCTGAAATCACATCTGGTATGGAGTGTGAACTTTTCAATGATAAACAAATTCACTCTAGAGTTTGTTGGGAATCAGGGAAGAAGCGTTCTTCGAAAAGTGCTTCCTAGTCCCAGGGTTCAGCTACTGGTTTAACTAACCAGAGTCTCAACCTGCCACACTGTATCAGAGGATCAAATCCAGTAATAAAACAGTGAGTCCTGGAAGGCAGGCCAGATAACTCAGGTTGTTTTATTGAAAGCACTCTGCATGTCATGAGAAACTTGACAGCCTTCCTTCACCTGCCTGCCTGAGATTTTCCCAACTGCTCTGCAGGAAGTGACTATACCCCAGCCCCACATATGGGGACATCATCAGTGTCGCATCTGGGTCACCACTCTGCAACTGTCTGCTCTCCCCAGCAGAAAGAGGATCCCCTGAAGAACCAGCTTCAGATCTTCACGAAACTGTGAGGACCATTCAGCTAGCTGTTGCATCTCATTATCCCAACGGTGCAACATTCTACTTACATTGACGTTCAACAGCATTAATTATAAATTATGTGTCTCCTATTGGCCTTAGGATCTAATCTGTTCCACGTTACAGTTTAATAGTATTCCTTCATATCTACTCTTAAGGCAACATTAAAACTTCATTTCTTTTCAATATTTACATCTAGTAACTTATGCAACCCAAATCAAGCATTTCTCCTAGCCTCTGCCATGACTAGCTTTTCTTCTTTCAGTGAAGGCACGGTCAATAGAGTCAAGCATAGTCCCAGTAGGGATATGAAGCCCAGGGCTATTCATCCAGTGGGGAGCTCCTATTTCTGACATGCATATATATTTAGACCAGGTAAAATAAATACGAACCACAACGGGGAAGGAAAAAGAAGCCACAGAATGAGCACGACAAGTACAACCTCAAGTGTCTGTGGAAGAAATGAGGGGTAGACCCCAAATTTGCCACGAAGATATGGTAGAGATGAGGGTAAGGGTGACAGGTTGACTAGACTAGACACTTCTTGAGGGTAGGGACCATTTCTTATCTTTATACCCCCAAGATCTGTTGCAGTGCATGGCATGGCACAGTGTAGATACTCAATACATGTTTGCTGAATTAGGAAGAGGCCTGTAAGATTCCAGTCTTTTTTAGCATCTTCTGGGGATGTCCTCTACCAAAGGTCTCCTTGGGTCTCTTTTGCTGTCTCCCTACATCACTGCCCAGTTCCCATGACCTCTGGCAGTGATGGTCATATCCCCCATATACATATTTAGATCAGTACCATCAGAGTTGAGTTTGAGCAGCCTTACCCGCAGAGCATGTTTGCTGGCACAATATCCACTAGAAAGGGGCATAGACAAGATACCCAGGAGGCTATTCACAATAACAATCTTTCCTTGCTTCCTCTCGATCATGTGAGGCAGAACACACATTGTCAAGGACACCGTCCCTAAGTAGTTAAGTTCTATGAGCTCCTTGAAGACATCCAGGCTGGTGTCCACGCACAGAGAACGCTGGGATCTTCCAGCATTGTTGACCAGAATGTCGATCTAGTTAAAAAAAAAAATCAGAAAATGGGCACTTTGGGGATGACTTGTAAATGGATTGATGCAACTCTTAGGGATGGTTGGTTTTATCATTAACTTGAAAAATATCAATGGAGGGCGCCTGGGTGGCTCAGTTGGTTAAGCGACTGCCTTCGGCTCGGGTCATGATCCTGGAGTCCCGGGATCGAGTCCCACGTCAGGCTCCCTGCTCAGTAGGGAGTCTGCTTCTCCCTCTGACCCTCTCCCCTCTCATGCTCTCTATCTCATTCTCTCTCTCAAGTAAATAAATAAAATCTTTAAAAAAAAAAAATCAATGGAATGGTGAATTTCCAGAAGTCAGCAATAAAGAGAGAAAATGCAAACCAGAATTCACCTGTGGAATTAACTTCCCATCTTAAGTGACTTGTCACAAAAATAAAAGGCACAGTGAATTTTTACCTTCTTTTGTTCCACATCAAGGAATTAGTACTTGTTAAGGTATGGAAAGTACAAACTACATAACCCCAAGAGTTCAAGTATAAGAGACTCGTGGGCACTGATCTCACTACACGGACCCATTTACCTAAAGCCCTTTCAGTGATCGCACAAAGATGGGACTCTCTTTCGTAGCTGTATCAAAGCAAGACTTATTGATTCAAAATGGCTCCTTACTTTACCAAACTCCTGGAGAACCACTTTGGTAGCTGCTTCGTGGGAACTTCTGTCAGTCAGGTCAAGCGGCAAAACAAGTATATCTTTTTCTTTTAAATTGCCATTCTCTAGATAAAGACATTTAAAAATTAGTACAGAAGTCATGAGATAGTTCAATCAGGCTTCTTGCTACTTGCATTAAGTTTAACACCCACCCTACAACTGGACTTGGCAACAAACTCATTTCTGGGGGAACTTGTGGAAGAATTTCTCTCAGCGACCAAGAGGACTGGTGGTAATGAGGCAACATCTTATCAGACAAAATGCTGGCTGGGTCCACAGGAAGAAGGATGGCTCTCTTCAATGTGAATATATACAATGTAACATTGGAACAGACTCTAAAAGAAATCAAGATTACGCTACAAGCTAAAAAAAAAAAAACAAAACAGAAATTTTAGAGCTATTTCTTTAGAAGAACAGAGGAACATCTGTCTTATGATAGGTGCCCAAAATATAGTTGCTCTTTTACATACATTAAAAAATAAAAACAATTAATGCTTTATACTAGTAAAACATTCAGAGTTCCCCAATCATATGACACATAGAAGCTTCCTTCCAGAGAAAACGATTCCAGGAAGCAAACAAGCAAAAGGACACAATCCTGAAATTCCCAATCAAGAAACACGGGGAGCTAGACTGGCCCTTTCTATTAGTGTTCATCAGAAGAATAAGGCTCTAACCCTGAAATACAACAAGTAATGCCAATTCGAAAAACAAGCAAGGAGAGAAAAATAAAAGAGGTAGAAAAGTTTTACAGGCAAAGTCTAAACTGTGAAACATGAACTGTTTAAAGAGATGGAAATGCCTGCACCAATGACAGAAGAAAGGAAAACAATCAGCCTCACTCCAGCCAAGAAATGCTGACCTGGTTCGTTTCTGCCAGTACAGGACTTGCAAGTCTCCACAGGAGGAACAACCACTGGAGGGAGTGTCCCCGTGCAAAACACAAGAGGCCTCTGTGAGTGATGTCCTGAAAGAGTCCTTCTGGCCTTGGCTACGGGCTTCCCTTTTTTGGGTGGTTAATGTTTAAAGAATGACAGGTAGAGAGATGACCAAAAAAATGGTCTGCTTGAAAATGCAAAATTATCTCATTTTAGGTACTAAATGTCCCATGAGAAATAATCACTTCATTACTTAGGACTGCTTTCATGTGAACATAACTACACCAAAACCCAGGCCAAAAAAATTAAAAATTAGCACTGTTGCTCTAATATGAATATGAATATTACCTCAAGCTGCATTTTAAAACCTAATTCAATTCCCATTCTTTCATTTTTATAACAAAAATTTTATAGCATCCCGTATGACTTTAATATCTGACATGTTAGCAAAATGAAGGATCATCATTAAACTTCTATGGTTACATACATGTATGCCATAACAACCAAACCGTTCTTCCTCTAAGACAAAAATATAAGATACGTGGTCACTGAAAACCCACCAGCATCTGAAAGAATTGGTGGTCACTCCCTAATACCTAGAGTCAGTGCAAAAGAAAAGTAGAAAGGCACACATGGATCAATGGAGCAGAACAGAACATCCAGAAATAACCCCACAATTATATGGTCAATTGATCTTTTGCAAAGCAGGAAAGAATGTCCAATGGGAAAAAGACAACAATCTTCAACAAATGGTGTGGGGAAAACTGGACAGCAGCATGCAGAAGAATGAAACCTGGACTACTTTCTTAGACCATATACAAAAATAAATTCAAAATGGATTAAAGACCTAAATGTGAGACAGGAAACCATCAAAATCCTAGAAGGGAGGGGTGCCTGGGTGGCTTAGTTGGCTAAGCATCCAACTCTTTATCTCAGCTCAGGTCTTGATCTCAGGCTCGCTTGAGTTCAAGCCCCATGCTGGGCTTCAGGCTGGGCGTGCAGCCTACTTAAAAAAGAAAAAAAAAAAATCCTAATAAGGAACACAGGCAGTAACTTCTTTGACATTAGCTGTAGTAACTTTTTCCTAGCTATGTCTCCAGAGGCAAGGGAAACAGAAACTATTGGGCCTACATCAAAATAAAAAGCTTCTGCACAGCCAAGAAAACAATCAACAAAACTAAAAGGCAACATACTGGATGGGAGAAGATATTTGTAAATGACATTTCCAATAAAAGCCTAGTATCCAAAATATATAAACAACTTACAAAAACTCAACCCCCCCAAAAACAACCCAATTTAAAAATGGGCCGAATTTGCTATGACGTGGGTGGAGCTAGAGTATTATGCTAAGTGAAGTCGGTCAGAGAGGGACAAATACCACATAATTTCACTCATATGTGGAATTTAAGAAAAAACAATTTTGGTATATGTGCTGCTGAAGTGAGCACGAAGAAACAGGTATAGGGAAAAAAGAGAGAGAGGCAAACCAAGAAGCAGAATTTTAACTATAGAGAACAAATTGACGGCCACCAGAAGTGAGGTGGGGGGGGGAGTTGAATAGGTGATGGGGATTAAGGAGGGCATGTTTTGTAATGAGCTCCAAGTATATATAAGTGTTGAATCAGTAAATTATACACCTGAAACTAATAATACACTGCATGTTAACTAACTGGAGTTTAAATAGAAACCTAAAAAAAAAATGGGCAGAAAAAGATGAACAGACATTTCTCCAAAGAAAACATTCAGATAGCCAACAGACACATGAAAAGATGTTCATGATCACTTATCATGAGGGAAATGCAAATCAAAACTACAATGAGATATCACCTCACACCTGTCAGAACGGCTAAAATCAACAACACAAGAAACAACACATATTGGTGAGGATATGGAGAAAAAAGGATACTCGTGCACTGTTGGTGGGAATGCAAACTGGTACAGCCACTGTGGAAAACAGTGTGAAGGTTCCTCAAAAAGTTAAAAATAGAACTACCTTCAATCCAGTAATTGCACTACTGGGTATTTAACCAAAGAATACAAAAACGCTAATTCAGAGGGATACATGCACCGCTAAGTTTATAGCAGCATTATTTACAATAGCCAATATATGGAAGCAACCTATGTCCAGTGATTGATGAATGGATCAAGAAGATGTGATATATATATATGTCTATCTCAGCCATTAATGGAATACTACTCAGCCATTAAAAAGAATGAAATCTTGTCATTTGCAAAGACATGGATGGAGCTAGAGAGTATAATGCTAAGCGAGATAAGTCAGTCAGAGAAAGACAAATACCACATTTCACCCATATGCGGAATTTAAGAAACAAACAAGCAAGGGGAAAAAATAGAGAGAGAAAGACAAACCAGGAAACAGACTCTGAACTCTAGACAACAAACTGATGGTTACCAGAGAGGAGGTGGCTGGGGGAGGGGTTGAAATAGGTGATGGGATTAAGTACACTTATCCCGATGAGCACCAGGGGATGTAAGGAAGCATTGAACCACTATATTGTACACCTGAAACTAATATTACACTGTACGTTAACTGGCTGGAAATAAAACTAAAACTTAAAAAAAAAAAGTGAATTAGAAAGGCATCAGAAAAAGAAGAATAAGCCAAGGGCAGCTAATGAAGAGATGCCCAAAGGAAGAGGATTGGGATCTGAGCACTTGGAACATTTGGAACCAGAGCGGACTGCCCGGGAAAATCCTATGCTTCCCTCTAAAATTCTCAAAATTGTATTTGAATTTGGATTCTGGTTTATTTCTAGGAAGCACTGCGGTCATTTTAGATTTACTCACCAAGGCACCTTGTTTTCACCCTTTCCAGCTCCTGCACTCTTCTGGCTGACAGCACAAGGGAGACTCCCAGTTTAGACAGCTGGCAAGCCAGCTCCTCGCCGATCCCACTCGATGCTCCAGTCACCCATACCACCATATCAGTCAGCTCCCATTCTAGTGGGAAACAAGTGTGGAGTGAGCAGGAAATAAGCTATGGATTACACCCGTAATTAAAGATTACCAAAAAGATAGTCTTAAACCATACCACTAAATATGAAGACATCATGTGTAGAGTTTAAAATTTTCAATATCTTGTATTTATGGCCTTGATTCTGGTGATGCTCTCACATATACACTTAACTCAAACTCACTGAGTTGTATACATTAAATATGTACAGTTTTTTTAACATGCTAATCATACCTCAATAAAGTGATTTAAAAATTTTTTAAATATCCTCAGAAACACCTCCTACCTAATTTTTTTAAAAAAGTGTGAATAAAAGGACGCCTGGGTGGCTCAGTTGGTTAAGCGTCTGACTTCAGCTCAGGTCATGATCCCAGGGTCCTGGGATGGAGCCCCGCATCAGGCTGCCTGCTCAGCTCTCTCCCTCTGCCCCCCTCCCCAGCCCCTGCTCTCGCTCTCTCTCTCTCAAATAGATAAAATCTTAAAAACAAAAAAAACTGTAAAAATGTTACAACACTAAAGCAATGAGGAGTGATTGGTTCTCCTTTTCTCCAATAAAAACTCACTTGCACTATAAGACATGATAGCCACCATCTATCTGAATTCCTAGAGAGTCACTGTGGTACAACACTCCTGTGTGCTTTCTTTATTAAAATATGTGTTATTCATCAAAAACAGTAGGGGCCCCGGGGTGGCTCAGTTAAACATCTGACTTCAGCTCAGGTCATAATCTCAGGGTCCTGGGATCAAGCCCCACATCAGGCTCCCCTCGCCCCCTGCTCATGAGGAGTTAGTTGGCTTGTCACTCTGGCCCTACGCCTGCTCGTGCTTACTCTCTCTCTCTCTCAAATAAGTAAATAAAATCTTTAAAAAAAAAAACAGTAAAAAAGGAATCACAACACACACTTCTGATTTGAGATCATAAAAATTAAAATTGGGAAATCAGTTTACTGTTTTAGTCAAACCATTCTAAAACCTAACTGTCGGGGGTAATAGTATGAGCTCTGGAGACTGCCAGGGTTCAAATCCTGGCTCCATCACACATAGCAAGGAAATGCCCCCCTGTGAAAACTTGGTGCCTTAATGTTCCACAACTGGAAAATTGGGTTAATAATAAAACCTCCCTCATAGCATTGTTGAGAAAAATGAGTTAAAATAAGTATCCAGAGCAGTGTCTGGCACATACTCAGTGCTTAAGAAAATGTCAACTACTTATTGCTAAAAGTGTTTAACAAATAGACTTTTCAGCAGCAACACAGAGAATATTCACCCACTAACTTGTGTGTCCTAATTTCTCCAGCCAGGGGCAATGGGGTTCCTAACTGTAATGGCTTAATATTTTTTATTACTTCCTACGTGCTTAAACACATTATCTCATTAGAACACTTGAGGATTACAGGCATTAATTTACCGAACTAGACTATAAATTCCCTTAAGGCTGGGACCCTATATGCCTTGTTCACTGTCCAGTGCCTAGCACAGAGACCGGAATATAGAAAGGACTCCATCAGTAACTGTTGAGTAAGCACCCCACAACCCTAGCAGAACTGGGATATAAGCCCAGGTACATCTAGCTCCAAAGCCACACTCTGACCACTAGCCTATGGTGCCCACATTTTAATATGATCAATCTTTTAAAACCCAACTGTTTCTTAACCATTCAAGAAAATACAACTTGTCTTCAGGAAAGAGGTTTCATGTAAATGTCTGAACTAAGGTGGGAAACATCCCAAATACTGCTTCTAGGCTACAATGCCTTCCTATCATATGATGTACTTCTATGGAAATGCACAACAGAGGACTCCATCAGGAAGAGCAGAATGTATATTCAGATAATCATGTATTCACTCATCGACAGCTCATTGTTCCAAAGTTCTGCAATACTCAGACTACAGAGTGAATATAATTGTAACTATTTACTAACTAGTATACAGCTCACGAAAATTTCTTCATGTTTACACCCCTAAGCAAATATGACTTAAAACCAATGATGAAAACCCCTAAGCTCATGCTTACCTCAGTACACCTGCAGTTCTGGCCCCCTTCTTCCCACCCTGGAGAAGAAAACTTGGGTATTTAGCACCAAGTTTTGTTTACCAATTCCACAGAATCTAGCAGACATAAAGGCCTCCCCTACAGAGTCTCTGAAAGCAGATTCTCAAGAGTTGGAAGGAAACTTCACAACAGTTCAACCCCCAGCGCTTTGTTTGAGAATTCTCTCCTCAAGCTGTCGGACGTCTACTTAATTCCCTCACAGGATGCAGAAGCTAGTTCTCTCCAAAGCACCCCCCCTTCCTTGGACTAGTCTAATCATTCAAGCGGTCAAGGATTCTTTCTTACACTGTGATATACCTTTAACTTCTGCTGCTCCATAGCAGTTGGCAGCAGCTCTGCCTCGTGGCAACAGAAAGGAAAAGTCAAGCCTGGCTTACACACGATAATGCCTTGTGTATTTGAAGACAGCTTACATGTCTTCCCCAAATCCTCTCATCTCTTGCTTCTCTAAGGCTAAATAAACACCTCCAAAGTCTGTGACCTTCCCTCATATGACATGGCTTAAGGTTTCCTCACTCTTTGGCTCACACCCCTCTGCACAAACTCTAGCTGGCCAATGCTTCTACTGAAGAGAACTGGCCAGAGAAGGATCCAGGACTCCCGTGGGGTCTGGACAATGGCTGGCTCAGCCACTGGGGTGTCCCAGGGTCCAGCACAGAGGCCGACACATACGAGCAGCCATTCAGAAGACATCGGTTGTGGATTGCCATGTTTGCTTCACAAACTACATGCCTCCCAGGCTTGCTGAATCTTTTCTGGCAGTCATTTCAGAGTCCACTCACGCGGCGGTTACTGCCAACTAAAGCCCGAGTTTTCTTCTGGTGTGCTGCTGCTGGAGTCTTCCTCCTCTGGACTTGTGCCATGGACTTTTCTGGATCTATGTGCAGTATCTAAAGTTAGTCGCCCTTCAATTTCACCATGTGATATATGTCCTTAGAAACATAGAATTTCTCTAGAAGGATACATAAAAGGTGGGAAATGTTGGTTGCCTCCAGAGAGGCGTACTTGGTGGCTGGGGCAGCTTTTCACCACATATCTTTTTGTGTCATTGAGTTTTGTAGCATGTGAGTATATTGTCTATTTTCTAAGGTGACAAAATAATAAACCTATGGAGAAGACAAGGAGGATTTACTTATTTATAAAATATATATATTTTTTACCTTAATAGAGTCTGCCCGTCTTTCCAGTCTAAACTGTTCTAGGAACCTGAGTGTATCTCCATGTGGCTTTAACTTTGTTTTATTATCACCTTCCCAACCCCCAGTGGTCTTTCTCGTGATTTTTCCTAAAAACTCCCCCAAGATAATAACTTTAACTAGCTGTGAGACACTGTCAACATTTTTCCTCTTCAGCACTTGACATAACTAATGGACCAAATAACTTTTGCAGAATTAAATTTAAAAAAAACTATTTTTAGGTAATCTCTAGTCCAAGTTAACTACAAAAGCACTCAGGATCAAATGGAAATATCCACAAAGTAGCCACAAGGCAGCCATCAGACAAAAGAAGGACTGATCCAGAGAAGGTCTGACAATCACAGTCACCTATTTGCCATAGCTTTGTAGCGTTGACCTTGCAGAGGTGTATTTCCCACCAACTCAATAATGTCAGCACTCCAGATGTTATCCCCCAGAAAATGCAACGAGACAAATGAAAATATTAAGGAATAAGATTTTGTGCAGTAGGGTTGAGCTTCGGAGGGATACAAAACACTGTACCATCTAAGATTTTTCTTTGGTCCTCAAGACCAGTTTTGACACCCCTGGGAGCCATACGGCTGCCCTGCCTCCCAGGCCCTTTTGGAAAGCGGAGTCTATCTTCTCCACGGCTAGCTCTCACTTCCAAGTAAACTTCCTCACATGCTTTGGGTATTTTCACACAGGAAACTAGGTCCAGGGAAACCCCACTTCCCCTAGCGCTTATGGATCCAAAGCCTAGCTCTGGGTAGGTCATTTAACGTCTGCACACCGGTTCCCTATCGGGCAAATAAGATTAACAACGCCTACTTTGTAAGTGTCTGTAAAGGCTAGAGGTCGTGTCACATGGCTTGAGCACAAAGAATGTGTTTAGGAAACGACCACCAAATTTTAACCAGGGTACTGATGAAAGTGGGAGAGGCAGAATGCCCCTCAGTATGCCAGTAATGATCTCGCCCCAGGCAAAATCCAGTTCTTTCTATGGTGATACTTTTTTCCCAGGACGTGAGTGGGGAGGTAAGTCTGGACACTCCTTTTATTTCACCACTCGGGAAGAGGGAACAACTTCTGAAAGTAAATAAACCGGGCTCCAGTTTCCTTACAAACTCAGGGGACGGGCACTGGAGTCCCAGTCCTCCGTGGACTCAGCAGCAGAACCCCTGGGAGGCAGGCTAAGAATCCCGAGGGCGCCCCGCCCATTCCACGGCCCTCCTAGTTTGGGAAGCGAGCAAGTCCTCCGTTGACCTCCACCAGAGACCAAGGAGCAGGACAGCCTCACTGGCCCCGGCTTTTTCCTCCCCCACGGACAGCCCCAGGGAAAGGCGCGGAAGCTCCACGCCACCCGGAGGAATGCGGCAACAGCGGGGACGGCCGCACGGAGCCCGGCCTCCCCCTCAGAGGCGCGGCTGCCGGTCCTCACCTGGGCGTCGCCCCTGCCATTCGGCCCACAGCAGGGTCAGGTCGCCATCCGCCCGCAGGAAGCGCAGCAGCTGCACCACGAGCGCGAGGAGCGCGCACAGCGCCAGCAGCCACAGCAGCAACTCCCAGCTCATCGCGGCCGCGCGCGCCCGGCTTCGCGGGAGGAAAGACCGACCGCGTCGGAGCCGCGGAGCAGCGCGCAGGACTCAGCTCGGCCGCCTCCCTCAGGGCTGGAGAGCCTCCCGGCCCCGGCTCCGCCCAGATAGTGGGCAGGCGGGAGGGGCGTCCCGGGCGCGCCCAGTTTCGCACCGCCTCCCCTCCACCCCCGCCTCCACCACCCAGCGGCGAGAGCCGCCCCCTGGGCTGCGCGGAGGATGTTGGGAATCCCCCGCACGCCGCGCTCAGTGTCCAGAACCCCCCAACTGGTGCGCTCGGTTCGCCTGCGTCTGAGCCTATTGAAGGGATGCTGTAGGGACAGAAGGCATGGAGGACTTTAGGACTCGCGGGACTGCTGTTAGTACAGTAGCCACAAGGTTTGTCATATCAAGAACAATTCTTTTAACAGTTGTTTTGAGGGCATATAGTTTCAAGGCTCGGGTTGTGTCAAAAGGAAGAGCACAGATATTCCGACCTGTGATCGCGTTCTTTCCTTCTTTAAATGAAGGGAACAAACTATCAATTTTCCACCCACGCCATCCTCTCACCCCCACCCACACCCAATGAACCCTGACTGAGTTAGCACCTTGTTGGTTTAGATTTGGAAAGCAGTTGCAAAAGACACTTGCCTGGTTCCTGGACGGGAAAGTGCAGTTTCAGTCCAGATGGTCCATGAGTACTAGCTCGAGGAGCAGGATTGGAGACCTGAGCCTAGCTGGTGTGCCCTCAGCAACCTAAGTAAATTATTTCTTTATCTTTAGGTACCCACAAAGAATGGGGAGGTTTAAATAAGAAGATGCCTGTGAAGGGCACAGTAGCTCATACACAGTAATTATATTCATTCTTTTGTAATTATGAGAATTGTCATTTTAAATTGTTATTTATTGTTTCCTTTATAATGATCACTTCTTAGAGCCCAACCTGAAAGACAGGGACTTTGTTCGTAAACTTCTATATTCTGGGCCTATAGAATTACCCTTGCACGGAGAGCGGTAAGGATGTTTCAGTTGTGATGCATCAGGTACTGTTGTGGTATGGGTCTGATTCTCCAAGGAAGACCTACACTAGCTAAACTTTGATTTTGACCGTCTGTTTACCTCAATTGCAACTTGGTATAATACTGCTCAAGAGTTGCCCTCTTTACTTTGTGACCTTTGCAATAGTGGTTTTCTTTTTCTGATGATAAATGACTTTTAAACTATGGTGCTTAAAGATACCACACTGCGTCTCATTCCATTGATAAAATTCCAGGAGTTTCCTCTGAGCCTGTTTCTGTAAAATGTGAGGATTGAATTAGATTTAGTGTCCCAAGACAGACCATCCCATAGATGTGTACCTGGCTTCTCCATCAGAAACTCTAGCTCTGGGGAGGGTAAAAGGGGAACAGAACTGTTTTTATGGAGAACTGGGACTAATAACACAAACTGTAATAAAACCACAGGGTAATTTCTCTTCACTAGCAATTCTTGCATTGGAAAATGAAAACAGGTTAACATAACAAATTTCAACATCATGAATTTCCTTTTACCTGAGTAGAAGCATACTTTATTTTGGAATTTAATTATATGTTTAAAGAATCAGTCACTATGATCAGAAAAACAACTGTTATAGCAAGTATCTTTGCAGTGCCTAATTGTCCTCATTTGTTCTGTTCACCAGTGAGAAAAATCCAGCCTCAGAATCTGCCCCCTTTGGTGAAGATACTCAGCAAGTTCTTGTCACAGTAGCATCCGTCAGGATTGCCTCTTCAAAACTGGATCCAAAGTGTGCAAAACAAAGAAAAGATGAATAAATGAAGGGACTCCCCAGAGGCCCATGGGGCACAATAGGCAGAACAGTGGAGCCCTGGCCTCTCCTGAATTCGTCCGTTCAGGAATGGACAGAATTTCAACCATTTATAAAAGTCCAAACGTTTTAAAAAGTGGATTCAAATATAAGCTACATTATTTCCAGATGAACAGAGAAACTTAAACAACTGCCAGAGTCAAGGAGGGAAACACTCTCCGTTCAGCCCCTTCTTCATTCCCATTTGGAAAGAGCATCGGCTGCTCCCTCTACTCACGTCTCTGTGTCTTTTCATGAAGCCAGGACGGTGCTGAAGTCAAGTGGCCATCACACAAGTCCCACAAGCCAAGGCAATGGTCCCTCGAGACAGGGTCCTTTCACAATTAGAGAAGAAGACTAGCACCATATGCTCTATTTCAACACCTCACAATGTGCTTCTGACAGCACACAAACTTACTCTTAGCTGACTCTCTGTTTTGGCAAAACAAATCTTAGTTCGGTGCTTAACATCCGTGTCCCCAAGCCATGATTTACCACCCAAAGTAAACGACACAATAAAAACAGAATATAATCAAAGCACAAATTTGTCGATATAATTGCACAAAATGTCGATGCTATTCTTGATTCATTTCCACTAGAAATGAGCTTCAAAACATTTCATTGTTTCCTCCTAAATACCTATGTGTGTTAAAAATTAAGAATTTAAAAATGAAGGTTTTTGATCCACAAGCCTCTTAGGGACCCAGTTAAAGTGCATAGAAATTAGGTCATGGCTGAGAACAATGGAGAGTCTAATGGGGAACATTCTAGCATTGATGCAATACAACTTCCATCCTCTGTAATACCTGGAGTACCTGTATGTTCTGATGTCAAAGGCTGTTCCTTGGCATAAGCCAAATATAACTTTAAAACACTGATGAAAGTGAGACATCAGCTCCCCTCCTCATCGTTTTATTTTCCAGTCTGCATACCACGCTTCCCCTTTCTTTTGTCTTGAAATGCATTGAAGAATATTACTTGCAATAATTAAGTTTCCTTAACAGCTCTACCTTCTCCCTTTCCAATCCTATTGCAAACCTCCACCCCAGCTCCCCACTCCCAATCCTTCTCCAGAAAGATGTCTGTGGCTCTCCGGAGCCATAATCACCTCTTCCCTAGTCTCATCTCTTTTATAATTACTTCTGTTGGGAACTATATCTGACATATCTAATTATTTTCAGGGTTAACATATTATTACCCCAATGAAACTTTAAGCTCCTTGAGATCAAGTAGCAAAGCTAATGCTTCTTTTGAAGTCTGCGGTACTTAGCTTAGTGTTAATACAACAAACGATAAGCCCACATTGAATTGCATTCTCCTTTCCTTGAAAGTTAAACCTCCTTGACGATTTTGTTTATTTATTTGAGAAGGGGGAGAGAGAGAGCATGAACAGGAGGGGAGTATAGAGGGAGAAGCAGACTCCTTGCTTAGCAGAGAGCCCGATGCAGGACTCGATCCCAGGACCCTGAGATCATGACCTGAGCCGAAGGCAGACACTTCACCGACTGAGCCGCCCAGGCGCCCCCTCCCTGAAGTTCTTAAGTTGACAGAAAAAGAGTTACTAGATTTTAACAAATCAATATTCCCTGAGTGTCATTAAAATGCTTTGAATAAAGTCCCAACCAAGGCCTTTTGTATAATTGGTACCCTTAGTTTTAAATTTCAGCTGTGATAGAATGGTACCCCCTTCCCTCCTTTTGGTAATGGTCACTTTTGATGGTATGGGCTCAGGCCTACTCAGGGTAGTTCAGCCAGGATAGAAGGCAGTCATGTGTAAGAAAACTGTCACTTCCCATAATAAAAGCACATATAAAAATAACTTTAAGAATCCAGAGCCTCTATTATCGGCAGTCTCTGGAGAAAAAAAACAAAAAGAAGGCCCCAGTGAGTAGAAACAGGGACGGAGGAAGTCAGGGAGAAGAATATTCTTCCTGTAGAAGAGAAAGACTTTTGTGGTATTTGATTGGGGTTATTATCACAACCCATAGATACTTTTGGAAATTTGTTGGATATGCTTTGTTTTCATAGTGCCGGGCAGCCATGGGCCAGGAGTGCTAAAAATCTGGGCTGCATATAAAGGCATACCCATCAGAGAATTGTCTGGCCCCAAAAGCCCACAGTGCCCCTGTACAGAAATCTTAACAGCCTGGCCATGGTGGACACGTGCTCCTTGATCTATTCCCTGCCTAAGGGAAGCATTCCCGCATTCCTCTGCATCTGTTTACCTGTACTCATTATAGAAGCATTCGGGTTATTGTTCACTCTTCTCATATTCTGCAGGCAGACGTGGTCTTACTTGGATAGTCTTGTGTCTCGTGTAAATTATTTCCTTATCTTAAGTAATCTTATGGGGTTCCTCACTAGGAAAATTTCACTGCCCTGTTGGCCACATGTAGTTCTGCATATCATTGAATTGATTGTCTCTTTAGATAGCTGATTTCCACATTATCTTAAGTCTCTTAGACATGAACAATTCACTGTATTATTCTCTTCTCTCTCCCTCTCTCTGTCTCTCTCCTCTGTCTCTGTCCCTGCTCCCTTCTCTCTCATTAAATGCCTCATTTCAGACTCCCCCTTACATATAGCAATAAACGTGCTAGTCAGTGGTGGTAGTTACTCAACACTACACATGTGATAAAATTGCATAGAACTACACACACATGCACACAGATACATATATGTGAAACTGGTGAAATTTTAATAAGGTCTATGAATTGTGCTAATAACAATTTCCTGGTTCTGTTATTGTCCTAAAATTATGTCAAATGTTACCAGTGGGGAACATGGAGTGAAGAGTACACAGGACCTCTCTGTACCGTTCTTGCAACTTCCTGTAAATCTGTATTTTAAAGTAGGAATAATTTGGTATTATAAGATGGTTGCACTACCTGTGAAGCAAAATAGTGTTATTTGAGAGTAAATTTGGATTAATTATAAATGTATGTTGCAAATTCTAGGGCAACCACTTAAAAAAGTTTTTAAAAAAGTAGTGACTATGGACTCTGAGAAACAAACTGAGGGTTCCAGAGGGGAGGAGGGTGGGGGGATGGGTTAGCCTGGTGATGGGTGTTAAAGAGAGCATGTACTGAATGGAGCAGTGGGTGTTATATGCAAACAAACATGGAACACTACATCAAAAACTAATGCTGTAATGTATGGTGATTAACATAACATAATTAAAAAAAGTATAATTGAGGGCACCTGTGTGGCTGAGTTGGTTGAGTGGCTGCCTTCGGCTCAGGTCATGATCTCAGGGTCCTG